TACTGTTGTATGGTTGTCAAGCGTGGGGGCCGTTTATGCTAGCTGAGGTCTCGGACAGGCTCAGGAAGCGGAGTGATGCGAATAACCTTGCAGAGGGGCCCTTCGAGGCATGCCTAAAGGACAGGGCAGTGCAGCTTCAGATATCTTTCATGCGGCAAATTGTGGGAGCTGCCAGACCAACACACCGCCTCCTGTTCGCAGAGCTATCGCAGCGACCCCTACACTACCACGTTCTCAAGCAGGTTATGAGGTTTTGGAACCATGTCCGTTTACAGCGTGGGTCTGTGGAATACCAAGTTTTGCGACAGGAGGTCGCAGAATCCCTCTCCAACCCCGAAGGGGCCGGATGGGGGACACTACTCCTCCGTTTTCTATGTTTTTTGGGGCACGATGTATGGTAAGAGGCCCCGCAAGGGCTACACGAGGTAGACGAACGAGTGGAGTGGCTGATGAACAGGCCAATGCCAGAAGGTGTGATTTTGGAGTTCAAGGACCGATTAATGAGTGGTTGGAAGCATACGCGTTTAGATGTCCAGCCTGACGTGTATCCGTCAGACGGCAAGCAACCAGGAATCCACATGGCGAAGTATAAGCATTGGATGGGGCTGGCGGCCGAGCAAGCGGGCAGGAAGGAGGTGCTCCCGCACATCACAATGTTTATCCCACGTTCGGCGAATCGCAAGCTTATGCAGTTTTGGCTTTGCTGTTGGGCACTGGCGGCTAACAGAGCGCGTAAGGGACGGCGTTATACACCTAGGGAGGAGCGAGTATGCCCTTGCTGCGGCACTGATAGCCACATCGAGGATGAGAAACACATTTTGCTGGACGTTCTGGCCCATATACCAAGCACAGATAGCGAGCGCTATCTTTGGCAGGTGCTACCTGGCCTGATAGCCCGTAACTGTTGACATCTCTCGCTAAGTTCCGACTGCTGGGTGCCATCACATGCAAAAACAAGCCTTTCACACTTTGAGACATTGAGACATTGAGACGCATCCCAAAAGCTTCACAAAACAAGTCCACAAGACGTAGCAACTCAGACATTCGCTCTAGTGACGTCGCTAGCAGACTAACATCGTCTGCGTACAACAGTATGGAGACGCGCTTGCTGTCCACAAGGGGTGCGTCATACTTACGTACTCCAGCTTCTACAAGGTCATGTGTATCAATCAGATCATCTAGTGTCTCAACGAAGAGTCCAAACAACTCCGTAGATAAAGGACACCCTTGCTTCACTCCTTGCTTAGACTCAAACTCTCCCCGCACTTTCTCATTTACTTTCATCACCATGGACACCTTCTCGTACGCTTTTCTCAGAGCACCTAGCATGTTGTGTATATGCAGGCAGGGGCAGGGAAGTCAATCCTGTCCAACACTCGAAGCATGCTTGTGCAACTGGATCAATCCAACTGCGTGCAGCTTGACAGCCACAAAGCGGCTAAGGTGTGAGCTGTTACAGAGGATCTGATCTTCCAGAAGGAGTACAAGCTGGCTGTGACCGTGGCTGTTGGCCAAAAGGGTGTGTTGAGGTATGTGAAACTGTGTGTGCATGACTGTACCATAGATGTTGCTCCCACTTAATAATTCCCTAAATGCGTGCAAAGCTCCATCTTGTTTCAATCCTTGCCCAACCAATCATTCATAACACACCAACATGTCTGCAGGGAGAAAGGTGACCCACAGAAATGCACAATAAACGATACATACACTTCAGAGGAGCTGGACAAGCTTTTCAAGTTCCTGACAAACAACAGGACGCCAGAGAAACCCAGCTACGGTGGTTCTACACACATGCG